AGTAGCATTCTAACCACACACAAGCCACCACAGGACAACCAACTGACAGATGAGTGGTCGTTGACTGAGTTTGTCATTATTTATCTATCTATTTATTTATTTATTTCTCTGCTCAAAATCACCTTCATTTTCCCTGTTGTACACAATTAATATGGAAATCAAGATAATTTTCTAAATGTTTTATATTTCATATGATTTTACATCAGGTATAATAATGATATATCAAAGGTAAATCCCCTTAGTCATCCTAATTTTAGAAACACTTGAATGAGATTAGGAAGTGATCATCATTTACATTTATTATACTTTGCATGTAACGAGCTGTAGCTATTAACTCTAATTTGCTTCTCATAGCATTCATCAAAGGCGAACTATTTAGAAACTAAAACATCTCTGTCAGAATTTTAATGAATTAAGATGAAATGAGACAGTGTTAATTGGCAGTTATTGCTGCAGGGAAGGTTGTAGATCTTGTAAGTGATAGAAATTCCTCTCTCTATCAGTGTTAATTTGTTTGATTTAATTCTATGGATACACTAAATATTTCCCCAAACCGCTCTGTCTATTTTAAAAAATGGGAGAGTGATTTTATTCTGTCTATTGGACTTTCACCTTGATTCTCAAACCATTTGAATTTGATTTAATTTTATTGCTAACAAATTGTTCATTTTAACTAGTATCTTAGTTATCGAGTGTTGTTAGAACAGATATATCACAAGGCTATGACTTCGACAAGCAGAAATACATTCTTCCACAATTTAGGTGACTAGAAGTCAGTATTCATGGCACCACTTCTAGGGCAAAGCCTTCTCTCTCTCTTGATTCTCAAAGGCTCTTGTCTCCTGCCAGTTTCTTTGAGGCCAATATTTCTTGGAGATCTCTATGTATCTTAGCATCAGTCTTGGACCCCTGGGTCTAAGAAGTTCTTAGTTCAGGGCTCATAGGTCTAAAGGACATTCTCTTTTCTTGGTGGTTGAAGGTCTCTCTTTCTCAACTTGCTTCCCTCTCCTTGTATCTACTGTAAGAAAAAAGGGCAATGCAGGTCATACCCCAGGGAAACCCCCCTTATATTGCATTAGATCTGGTTAAGGTTAATTCCCATCTTAATTCCCTTATAATTGAATGAGAGATTACATCAGATCAGATCATGGGGATGATTACATCATTACATGATAGCCAAACAACTTAAAATCATGCCTCTGTCAAGCTGACCCATTATTTACTTATTTATTTTGGAGGGGGCAGTTTGCAATTCAATCCATGACAACTAGCATCTGTATTATTGACTTAAGACACACACAAACACACACAAAGCATTTCTTAGGCCTTCCTTTAATTGCCCCAAACCCTACAATATGTAATCAATTATTTTAATAAATTTACCTTTCTCTGTTCTCTTTTTGTCAGACATAAATGAATGTGAAGCTGAGCCTTGCAAAAATGGTGGAATATGTACAGATCTCATTGCTAACTATTCCTGTGAATGCCCAGGTGAATTTATGGGAAGAAATTGTCAATACAGTAAGTATTAAGCATATTTTATTACTATGACCATCATTCATTGTGAAAGTAGCTAAATTAATGACTTGTCCTCATGAAGTACACAAGTGATTGGAAAAACATATTTCATGTTTGTTACTCACATTACTGATGTACATATTTTCCAGGATACCTCTTACCTAGTACTCAATATGAACTGGAGTAGTCATGCTGAGATTTGAAAGTCATGATAATACTCTTCAGAGAGCCAAATCTCCTCCTATTTTTATAAAACCTATTTTTGACTTTGAATATATATGTGAGGTAGACTTCCACTGTCAAAATGTTTATTCTATTTCTGACAATAAATGTTGGGCACTATAACCAGATATATTCTCTATCGCAAGTAAAAATGAGGGTGCATATTGGAAGGACTTACACATGAGGATGAGTTTTACACATTATTATATTTATCATTGTGGAAGCCTAAGACAGCAAGGACACCAAATGATGGGTGTCGTGATAGGGAAATATGTCCAAGATATTTATAATAAAGACAGAATGCACACCCCTCCCTAGAAAAACAAAACCCAAGCTAAACAAAACAAGAGAAAAAAAACCAACACCTATGGACAAGTAGTAAAGTTCACACTCAGCATGTCTCTGGCCATCCTGCTAATGCTGTACTAGCAGCCCCAGAGAAGCACGCGCATCCCTCCTCTCTTAAGCTCCTAAGACTTGAAGTTGGCTGTAAGGAAGCACAGGATATTCTAAATGAATATGTTATTAATCTGAGAAAGAACAAAAATAGATTGCAGTGAATATGTGGTATCTTTGCAGTAAAGACAGGATTTTTAAGTTAGTTGGAATGCCTCCTAAGCAATTTGTAGGCTTGGCACCACTTAGATCCATGCCCAGATAGAAGTATTTGTAGACACAATAATAATGTCTCCTTGGGCCTTCAAGGGCCCCATATATAAGAGAACAACTGGAAACTGCTCCCTGACCATTTTCCTAAAATATATCCATGTAGAGGACCTGCCTTCCGAATTCTGCTTAAGGATGAGGGCTGCTCTGAGGTAGACAAGCCCCAGCCCGCTGAATGAACTTATGGAAAGCTCAATGTCTGAGGTTTTCCTGGAGATGGGATTTAAAGTGTGGAGATTTGAAACCCAGAAAACTTGAAGTCAGTTAATAGAATGGGGAGGGAGGTAGCTTTTCAGAGAGATAACAAGGCCACGATGAAGGAAAGATTCCCTAGTTCTTTATTTCGATGCTGCAGCAACTGGACACAGCCAATTGCATGTATTCATGTCAAAATAAAAAAGGAGATATCACGAGGTGTCGAAGTGATCAGGTATGATCAGAACAAAAAATCTTACCATAGTGAATGATGTGGGGAGTGTGGAGTGGAGACCCAAAGCCCATTTTAGGCCACTGGAGATCCCCTTGCAGAGGACTCAGGGAGGAGACGAGCCAGTCAGGGTGCAATGTGGCAATGATGAAAAATACAACTTTCCTCTGGTTCCTAAATGCTTCCCCCTCGCCCCCACTATCATGATCCGAATTCTACCTTGCAAGTCTGGCTAGACCAGAGGATGTACACTGGTACAGATAGGAACTGGAAACACAGGGAATCCAGGGCAGATGATCCCTTCAGGACCAGTGGTGTGAGTGGCGATACAGGGAGGGTAGAGGGAGAGTGGGTTGGAAAGAGGGAACCAATTACAAGGAACAACATGTGACCTCCTCCCTGGGGGACAGACAACAGAAAAGTGGGTGAAGGGAGATGTAGGATATGGAAAGATATGACAAAATAATAATTTATAAATTATCAAGGGCTCATGAGGGAGGGGGGAATGGGAGGGAGGGGAAAAATGAGGACCTAATGCCAGAGGTTTAAGTGGTGAGGAAATGTTTTGAGAATGATGAGGGCAATGAATGTACAAATGTGCTTTACACAATTGATGTTTGTATGGATTGTGATAAGAGTATGTGCCCCTAATAAAACAACTATAAATAAATAAATAAATAGATAGATAGATAAATAAATAAATAAAAGGAGGCCTATCTAATATGTCAGATGCTGAAACCTAAGCCTGAAGCCTACTCATCTCCCCATCACAAACTTCTGTTGTGGTCATCACAAAACTCTTTGGGAAGAATGAAGTCTTATTTAATTATGAAAAGGCTTTTAACAAGTAATTTCTCATTATCATCAGTTTGTGCCTAGTGTGTTTTTTGACATATCTATGTATTTTTTCTGAGCCCCTGTCTTGATTTATTGGTATAGAGAAACAAAAGAGAGAGGTAGGCAGGTACAGTTTAGGAAACGGTGTGAAGGCCCCTCTGACTACCTCCAGCTTCAGTAGGGAGAAGACCCAACTCAGTTCTCACAAGGCAAAAGCAAGAATTCACCTTCCAACTTCTTTCACCTTATTGTGACATTACCAGTCCCTCCCAAAGCATTATACTTTTCTGCTGATTTTAATAATTCTTTGAGAGACCAAACAGAATTTATAGACATTATTCACAATTATGAGGTCTATTGGGGAAGTGGTCAAAACAGAAATGGAGCACATGGTTTAAAGTCAGGAAAGGTGTATGTGAAGGTTTCATCCTTTCACCATCCTTCTTCAATCTGTGCACTGAGAAAATCACCAGAGATGCTGGATCAGAGGAAGAATGTGGCATCAGGCAGGGAGGAGGCTTATCAACAACTTGTTATACAGATGACACAACCTTGCTTGCTGACAGTGAGGAGGCCTTGAAGCACTTGCTGATGAAGTTCAAGGATTGTAACCTTTGGTATGGATTAAAAGTCAATGTAAAGAAAACCAAAATCCTCACAACTAGACCAGTAGGAAACATGATAAATGGAGAAACATTCGAAGTTGTCAAGGATTTTGTCTTTCTTGTATCCAAAATCAATGCTCATGGAAGCAGCAGTCAGGAGAACAAAGGTTGCATTGCATTAGGTAAAGCTGCTGCAAGAACTTTTTTAGAGTACTGAAAAGCAGAGATGATACTTTGAGAATGAAGGAGCACTGACCCAAGCCATGGTTATCTCCATTGCCTCGTATGTCTGCGAACGTTGGGCACTGAACAAGGAAGACCATAGAAGAATCGATGCATTTGAATTGTGGTGCTGGAGAAGAATATTGACAGTATCATGGACTGCCAATAGGGCAAACAAATCTGTCTTGGAAGAAATATGGCCAGAGGGCTCCTTAGAGGCAAGCATGGTAAGGCTTCATCTTCCATACTCTGGGCATGTTGTCTAGAGAGCTCAGTCCCTGGAGAAGGACACCATGCTTGGTAAAGTGGAGGGGCAGTGAAAAGAAGAAGGCAGGTTGACACAGTGGCTGCCGGAGGGCTCAGGCACAGGTAACTGTGAGCACCGTACCTCCGTTCTGTTGTGCGTAGGGTTGCGATGGGTGCGAATGACTTGATGGTACTTTAGAACAACA